AGACGTTGACAGGGGCGTCGGTCGCCAAGTTCTTCAGTAGACAGAAGCTTCTAGATGTGAGTATGCAGTAGCAGGGTCTTCTTGAGATTGTTGTAGGCATTCACCGAGAGCGGGGGCTGAACAGATCCGCTAAGTTGGCAATAGCGGTGAGCGATAATGCCACATCGTAGTGGAACTTCGAAGCTTGGGAGCGGATACCAGTGACTTGAAGTTATGATTCCGCCTAAAGAAACCACGCTGAGAGATGCTGGTCCGAGTACTAAGGAAGGCGGAGAACGAAGGCTGAGCAGGAGGGCTTGCCGCGTTGCTTGGAAAGATTCTGGTCTCGAGAACTCATACTGCTGGTCGCTTCTATGGTCGCTTCTGCCACGAAAACGCATGACCTTGATCAAGTCCGCATCACCAAACTGTGGCGTATGTGCAACTTTGGAGATTGGCAAAATCTCGGTCTTCCCAGAGAGAAAGTGAGCCCGACGCGACAGCTATGGTTATAAGTATTTGAATGACTCCCGAACACCAGCGTGTGCCGGCCCGTGAGCGTCTCCTGCCTCATTCGAGAGCGAGTGTTTTGTCGTCTTCTCCTTGACACGCCGATGTAGCTGCCGCTAAAAAAGCATAGATAGACTAATAAGCTCGGCATGTGTTTCTCACAAGGCTCCTCTGTCCACCCAGCTCCCCATAATGTTGTGCTGGTGAAGACGCGCGCTTCAATAGGCTGCGACGGGGTGTCAGCCTTGGTGATGACTGAGGCAAGGCCAAAATACGGGCATAAGCAAAGGCCTCTGCCTGATCAAGCGTCTCTACACGCTTTGTAGGAGTCTTGTGGCTTCATTCGAACAGCCAGAGAATCTAGTTCTTGGTGCAACCCTTGAGATCCCCTCCAATAACCTAGCTCCCCTTGGCACTATTGTGACTAGAGCACGTCGTTCGGCCAACAGTGACAATGGGGGTCAACCTGGGTGTTCTCGGGGGTAAAACCAGGGGTCAGCAGGAGGTTTAGACTTCCTGTCGTCATATGCTTGTCAGACGACAATGACAAAGAGAATGTGCCTGCCTTTTTGTGGGCCCTCTTCCAAACTGGCATCACATGTGAGTGACAAATCGCTACCACCTTGTCAAAAGCCTAACGCAGTACATACAGAAGAATGGTCCAGTGTTGGAGCAGCAAACTACTGCCCCGAAAATACCTAACCAGAAGACGTGCTTTCTACAGCGCCGACCTATACGAGGATGTCGACTTTTTAATTCCAAGAGTTCCCCTCTACCTTCAAAAGAGCTGTCTCAGCCAAAATCGAGGCTCTGCCACTTTGCAGAGTAGAACAAAGGTGTAAACCTCGCGTGGGTGAAACCTCGCTGGAGCGAGAAAGAGGAGTACCTGTTGGCAACGAGAAAAGAAAATCTCCGAACACAGGATGTCAAAGACATCAATGCTCACTTAGCGAGGACCTTCTCGCATTGTACCTCTAATGGCATAAATTCCCAATAAATACAGGATATGTCACATGATCTGTATAACAGGCTCTTTCGAAGAAATAATGAGAGGAAGCATATGGATATTGAGCAAGAAGTAGCAGAAGATGAAGAGTCCATCGACACTCCGGATGCCAATCATTTAGATTGAAGCAAGGATTTGTAGACTCACTATGAAAACACATCCGCTAACATATTAAGTGTTCAAACTATAGAAAATTGTCATAAGATACTTGGTTACTTAGACAATCTGCATTATTCTCAATGCTTATCTACGGAAAGTGTTCGACAAAGAGCTACATGCACAAAGCCAACTCATGTCCACGAACCGAAGAAAGCTTCAGAAAAAAGAAACGTCACTTAACCCAGAAACGTTGCCGAAGAAACAGAATTCAATGCGGAAGACAACCTCTGAAAGGCTGCTCTTCTAGCTTTCGCTGTGACTGTACTGCGCCTTCCACGCAAGCCTCCTTTTTTTTGAGGAATGGCGAGACGTGATGAAGCAAGTAGTGCCTTATTAAGTGTTTTCAGGTGTCCAACACCCCCACCGGAATATTGACCAGTATTTTTTATAACCGCAGCAGACATAAAAGCAGCTATGCCTCAACAAGCTCAGCATCTGGACCCAACGACTTTCCCACCGGTGAACATAGGAAAGTTCCGGTGGTGGTACTATAGGTTCTACTCGAGTGCCTGATATTACAGAAGCGTCTGCCACTCTTCCCGACACAAGCAAGAACAATATTCACCCTTAAAGTGCCTGGCGCTTCAACCACTTCGCAACATCGCCCCCCTTCTATAACGCATGTCCTCCCGAGACTGAAAAGACAACTTTAAAAAGAAAGTTCTATGACCTTGACCATGATCATTTCTGCCACTCAATAATTGTGCCTAAAATGTACTACTACTTGCCACCATTAGAGATGAAGCTTGGAAGTCGCTCCGTCCACTATCCCTAGCTTTCTTGGGAAGAGCGAGGACTTTTGACAGTGTTGTCCATTAGGCAATTTTGCGAAAGGTGGAAATAAAAGATGTAATAGCAGTAATGGTATAATCTTCAGAGGCAAACTGCTTATGAGCCGTTTTACTGTTGGAGTCCGACAAGGTGATCCTTTGTCACCATTATCATTTATTTTTCGACAAATTTCTCGCAGAACTAGCTCAACAGTTGATTTTTACAAGTGATGGTATGAAAGTGCCTGCATGCAATAGCCTTCACGGACGACCTTATTCTTACCACAGGAACTCCTTGAGGTCTCTAAAATCAAATCAAGCGCTCTAGCTCGTTCCTAGTGATTGAAATACTGAGTATTATAACCTCCAAATCTTCCGCCTTAATGACAACCTTCAAGAAGCAACAACGCTTACAAGTTTATACTGGTATCCACTTAGATGTCAAAGGCGAAAGAATGGTGGTATCTAATTTTACGTCAACGCGGCGATACTTGGGAGCACTCCCATTTTAGAGTGAAAAGCAGGAAAAAAATCTAGTGAAAAGACAGCCTAATACGCTATTCGAGAGAGTGTCAAAGGTACTACTAGATTGTTCCAGTAGTGAGTTGTCCTGTGATTTTACGTATTACTTCGTCTTTACCACCGGCTAGTGTTGGGTCCTATTTGTGCAAAAACCCTCACGGCCATAGATAGAGAGTTCATCGGCACTGAGGAAACGACTCATGCTGCCCATAGATACACCACTCAGATTTTTGACGTGGCGGTGGAAGGAAGACTTCGCGTTCATAACTTCAGAACTGCGATTCGAGCTACAAGGCAATATAACACAGTAGCGCCATTCAATAATGCAGCCTGCACGTTTGCTGCCACATGACTAACAATGCTGAATCTCAAAAAGCAAGCAGAAAACCTTACCTTCTTCTAAGGCTGCAACATTGGTAACAGCAAGCTATCACAGAAATTATAGGCTCAAGAACTCCACTGATATTTTGACGGAAGACCCCTGCAGCATTGCAGGGAGGTGCGAGGGTCAACTTTGCGTTGAGGGACGGAAGCTCTCTCCTACGTGGTAGAGAGTTTATCGACCTCGCAAAATTCCATAACAATGTGGTTCCCAACCTAACCCGACTGTGTAGAGGCTGCAACCTTCCAAAAGAATGCAGATCAGTATGTCACGCAGATATAATTTTGTAACACATGGTACAAAATTGTCGCAGAGCCCAGCACACCCGAAACATGGCAATATTCTATGATACCTGTCAAGCCGTCTGTCTTATCTGGCATGGCGATAACAGCGAGAACGGCACTTTTAGACACTGCAAAATATGAAAATTTCTGATCTAGTAAACAAAAAGCAGGAAAGCTCCTAAATAGTGAAAAAGCAGGTAGTTGAAACGCGAATGGAGCAGACTGAGACGCAACACCATAAGAGTGACAAGTACAAGATCGCCGATCACCTCTCTCAGATTGCACCAACACCTAGTCTGGAGCGCAACTCTGACTTACAGAGGAACATGCGCCGGCTAATTCATTAGGACCTTGATTCAAGTCCGCATCACAAAAAACGACTTCACGATGATTTCACTCTGGTACTTGCAAGAGGGCTTAGCCACGTTTAAGATGAACCAGCATAAAAAAGTGGTTGTTCGTCAGGGTATGGGCTCCAACGGCCTAATTCTGCCCCGGCACCACAAGATGCGGTACATTTCGTTCTCTCTGCCGTCTCAGAGAACATGATTTATAAAGGCATCAGGATCTTTGCATGTACTCGGAGAAAGCAAAATCATTGTTCTACGAGAAGCGCAAGTTTCACTCCAGACAGCAGGCGCTGGTGCCCTAGGAAAAAAATTCTAACAACAGGTGGAAGCTACAAATTTAGAAATTCCTAAAATCCTTCTTTCGTGGACATAAAACTAGGCTTTGTATAATGAGTTGATATGTAGGTGTTAACGTCCCAACACCATGATATGATCATGAGAGACGCCGTAGTGGAGGGTTCCGGAAACTTTGACCATATTGGGTTGTTTACGTACAATCAAATTTGAAAAAGGACCTACAGCATTTTCGCCTCCATCTGATATGCAGTCGGCGCGGTCGGGATTCGATGCCACAATCTACGGGTCATGCAGCCGAGTACCTTAGACACTATAGACCACCACGGCGGGGAGTACGCTTCGTAGAGTCCATTAGTTGCGTTCATGTGTACAAGTTAACATTATTTTGACAGCCGATAACAACTATTCGTTTTATCAAGTTATGTTTAAGCTCCGCTTACGTTCAAGTGCGTATGTCATTCATTAGGACCTTTAGTACATTATGGGCTACGGCACTGCGGCTCTAGAAGTCGGGAGCTGAAATAGTGGTGAAACGTCGACCAGGCAAGATTGGTGAGGGGGTCACATAAACCATGCACTTTTTTAACAGCGGAATGTGCATTTAAGCAACGAAGTCTACTTCCATTAAACAACAAAATCATGCACCTGTTACCTGAAATGATGTCACAAACGCGCATCTTGACTGCTCACTGTGAAAACACAACTTTTTTATGAGTGTCTTCAATTATCACTTTCTTTCAGTTTGTCGGGACATCTGAGAGGCTATGGACCGTCAAAACAACCAACAGAGAACGCATGCGATGCAAGGTCGATTATTTAAAACTTATGAGAACACTGTCCCTTACATTCGAAAGATCATACTTCCACAGGAACACCAGGTATGTTCCTGCCGTCTCATTGTGTTTCTTGTGTTAGACGCACGACATTCTCGTTTGCAGGCGTCACTTACGGATACAGGGAGTGTTTGATACGCGTTTCAAGAGGCGCATGACTCTCTTTTATCGAGGTAGGCCAAAATTATGTACTCAATTGTGCAGTTGACGAAATTGTGTTAATGTGGTGTAAATGACAACGTGGATTACCTTGTTAAAAACTACATGCGTTAATTTCCTCTCTCGGAGGAATGACTAAATACATATTTATACTGTTTTAGTGAATATTTGGTAGTGGTTTAAAGAACATATCATTTCCACTAATTTGAGCCCAGCCAATTTTTCACATACCTCCACAGTGCACTTCAAAGATGATTTGCATCTTAGCCACACAGCCTCGGAAGCAGCGCCCACGTGCAGTCTGAAGCAGTCATTTTCACACTCGGATTCCAGTGTCTAAGCAACGGCACAGCCATATTAAGCGCAACATTGTCAAATGGAAAAAGACAAGAGAAAAATCTAATTCACAAACAAAAGTAAATTTAACCATCTTCGAATTAGTGGAGCCAAGCCTGAAGAAACAGTATATCTGGGGAGCTTTTGTTTCTCTAGTGTTTTTGTCTTTCCTCTTTTTATGCTTTATTTTTATTTTCTTGTAGTTTTTGAACATTTACATTCATTTCTTTTTTTCTTCTGATTCTTTTTCTGTTAATCTTTGTTTCCATATAGTCATTCGCTTTGATTTTTTTTACATTTTTTGGTTGAGTTTGCTGCGTTATGTCCAGCGACGACAAATTGTCACCAGGTCCTGAAGTGCTCCGCGTGTAATATTGTCAGCAAGGTGCTCGAAGGGCAATATGAAGAAAAACCTCTTCTTCGCTCGAACACGTGCTTAAAATGCTACGAAGAGCTGTGTCTTACGTAGATATCCCGCTTTGAGCAAGCGTCTACAAAATCCCAGGTCCCAAAAACGCTTCGCGCTTGAGAAAAACAATGGAATAACTCAGCATATCTCAGGTATTTACGAGATTGATGCTATGCGATGCATGCGGAGGGAAGCTGACTGTGTCTTAATTTTTTAATTGCGCGAAATGTAAGGAAGTGGCACTGAGATATGTACAAATGCATGCAGAGACACGCGTTACGCAGCGGTATATCTATTGAAATATTAGTTCTTTACTGCTGCGTAACGATCAGTCATAGCGACTGACTGAGTGAGAGGTACAAGCTAGTGCCGAGAAAGAAAACTTCTTATTGCTCCATTGCATCACATTTGAAGCCACATTGGGTGAGAAGGTTACTGTAAGCAGGAAGGGAAGCAAGATAGTAGAAATTGAAAGAGTGATGTGTGCGTGCTCATAACAAAGAATAAAGGCGCCTGATACATTCCTCTCGCCAACCAATAGTTTCAAAATACTTCACAGTTACTGGCTGATTGATATGTTTAAAGATCATTGTGTAGCCCTTGTATTCGGACGGTCTAACTTGCCGCTGCGGTCTTAGTTTGGTGAAGGTGGCCTCGTTTCGTGCTGTCGCTGGTGGTGCGACGTGCGCTGATTGCGGTACGATGTTCGCCGATGGTGGTGTGACGTTCGCTGATGGCGGTGGGCTTTACGAGATGTGTTTGTCTGCTCGTCATATTGGCCACATACTTTGTAATCTGATGGTTCATGGTGCAGATGCTTTTAAGTCTTCAGCAAATGTAGGCGGTTTTGCCGTACTATCCTATTTTCGCCCGTTTTGAGAAAACAGGACCTTGGCTCTGTTGAGTTTGTCATTATACCTTTTCGTGACCATGAATGCTTCTTTCTGCGCACCACATTATCATTTCAAAGAGCTGAGAGAGGTGGTCCATGGATGCTTGTCTGCTTTTGCTGCTTGACTTCCGCTGTTGGCTGTTTCTGAAAGTTGGGGAGTGAGGTCCGCAAGCGGCGTCCTTGAAGGAGCTCCCTGGGGAACCAAGCGTCTTTCAGGGGACATGTCTTGGAAGCCCGAATACCTAGCCAAAAGTCCTCATTGGCCTGAGAAGTTTTATTTACAATTTGTTTGATGATTTTCTCTCTTTCCTGCTAGCCCTTTTGATCCAAGCAATTACGGGCTTGACGGAATGTGAAGGGAGTAATACGCATTCGAGTACTGGGAAAAATTGTGACTGGAAAACTGGGGCCCGTTATTCATGCATACTTCAACGGGAATTCCACAAATCGACAAAATCGCGCCGAGCTTATCAATGACCACATGGGTCTTGATGCTATGCAGCAGCTTTTCTTGAGAAAAGGTAGACGTCGAATCGTACCCACACAGATAGTAACTTCCTGCCTGCTGGAATAGGTCGACTAGAACTCATAACTATGCGCTAGTCGGCGTTGAATGCATCATTGGTGGATGAATGCATCTTTGACTGTATGCGTGCTTTCTTCAAACTTGGCGTTTTTCCATCAGAACTTCAATATTTTTGTCGAGACCTGGCCAGTATATTAGCTATCTTGCTCTTCATTTGCACTTAGATGTATGGATATGAACGCCCTGCACGCAGTTTAAAATATCAAAATGCATGCATGTAGGCATCCCTACTTTTGCCCCTTTCAATAATATACCTTTGGTTCCAGAGAGCTCGGAATGAACTGGATTAAGTTAGGCTGTGATGGGTTTTCCTTCTATATTATGCTGAAGTACCGCTTGAAATTAGGCGTCCGAGGCGGTCTAGCACGCTAATCGAGCTGTACTGTTTTCACTCACGAGTGCTGCCATGACTGTGGTATAGCGTGAACTTCGACGTCACCAATGTCCACAGCCGCGAGTTTGCCAGTGCCCTGTGTTCTTGACAGCATGTGCGCCATCTCCATCTGTTTTTCGGGAACAAAAATCAAGTTGTAATCACATTTCAAAAGTCTTAAAAAACGCTGGAGACTAGGTGGCATATCGTCATTTGGCTTCTTGGAAATATCAATGAATGGCTTGTGGTCGTTTTCAAGTAGCAGTGGATGACAGTGTGTAAAGTGAGAGAACTTCTCACAATGAATTACCAGAGCGATAGCCTGTTTTTTTCTGGTGATATCGTTTTTCTGTGTCAGTCAGAGCTCTTGACGCGTATGCTACTGGCCTCCAACTGTCTTCCTAACTCTGTAAAAGGGCGGATCATATAACATACTGGGAGGCATCTGAGGCTTCCTTAGTTTGCTTGCATGGGTCGGAAGTGGCAATGATCGGTTTTCAGCCTAGTAGTGCGTAGCATAAGTCCCTGAAATTTTAATCATGCTTGTTTGTACATTCAAAGACTACGTCTGGCTTGATAAGATATCGCAAAGCAGCTGTTTTCTTGGCTGGCGATAACAAGTATTTGCCTAAATAATTTACCACGCCCAGCAACCTTTGTGATGCCAGCTTGTTATCGGGCCGTGGCATCTGCGCTAAACTGGCCACTAAGGCTGGATTTGGGTAGAATATTTGGCGCTGATAATATTGCCCACAAATTTCACTTTTCTCATTCTAAACTCGCGTTTTTTTTGCGTTGAACGTTAACCATTAAAACTGTGCTGCCCTGAGCAGGCTTTGAAGACATCCTTCATGCTTCTCCCTGTCACTTCCTCAAATTACGACGTCATGCACATACACAAATACGCCTGGCATGTCTTCGAATACCTAGGTTAGCGCCTTCTGAAATAATTCCCTAGCCGACGAGATGCCAAGCGGCAGCCGCAGGTAGTGGTTACGACGAAATGGTGTTGCAAACGTGCATATTTTTTATCAATGTTAGTGTAGGGAAAGCTGATGGAAGCCGGCACTGGCGTCGAGCCCAGAAAAAAATTGTGCCTGTTAGCTCAGCCTAAATATATCTTCTCGACAGGGCATTTGACGACATTCCCTCTCGAGCGATGAATTCATTGTTCTCGAGTTCATGCAAACCCGTAGTTTGCCATATTTTTTCCGTAAAATATTGAGAAGGCTTACCCACTTCATTAGCTCGCTGTTTTTTTAATGGCGTGCTCTCCCTCCATGCGCGTCCACTTCTCCCGAAGTGGCTGCGGCAACGCAAAGGGAACCCTTCACGCCAGCTCGATGGCGGGGACAGCGTCTTTTTGCAACACTATCTTGTAGTCACGGTTGATTCAGCCACTTCCAGGTAAAACCTGTGGAACTTCGTTGACTTCCTTAAGAGTACATGCGGCTACGCTACCAACCTGTCGCTGGAATAACCGAAGGCATTCGCTTCGATTTATTCCTACGATCATCTGGTAGGGTTTCTTTGCCACGAAGAAGTTTGCCCAGATTTTCCCGTCACCAATGAGGACAGCTACAGAGACTGCGCAGCGATTGTTGACCATGCCCCCATTATATGAGCGCAGAGTTGCCATGCTAGTCTCAAGGGGTCAGACGTTCTGTTTCAGTAGATCGTCAGTGGTATTAGGTTCACTTGGGATCTCGTGTCAACTTTTATCGACACCTCTTTTTTCTGATCGTCGCTTAGAAGAACCAGTAACGATCCGTGTGAACTGCACTGACTGAGAAGTCAAGAATGGCAAAGTCATCTTCGTGCTGTACTTCCGTGACACAAGTCCTTGAACCGCACCATACGGTGAAGTAGTTCAGTCCGTTGCAAGTACGACAAATGTTTCCGTAGGCTAGGCACCACCCATGGGCACGCGATATTCACACCTGGAACATCCGCTACCCTGTTGAGGCGGGCCACGTCCGGCTCCAAGTGACTGCTTTAACTTAGGATGTCACTTTCTCTTGACCGTAATGCACTTTTGCGCGCAAAGGTTCCGGCTCCTTTACACTTAGCGATTGCTTTCGCGAGGGTAAAGTTCTTACTCAGAAGCTTTACCCCAGTTTTCTCGTCTTTAGTCCAAATATCATCTGGTCCCGAACCACTTCCTCTGCCATGCTTCCAATGTTGCAGTGTTTAGCTTGCTTTTGTAAACTCCGCACGTCTGGCTTGATAAGATATCGCAAAGCAGCTGTTTTCTTGGCTGGCGATAACAAGTATTTGCCTAAATAATTTACCACGCCCAGCAACCTTTGTGATGCCAGCTTGTTATCGGGCCGTGGCATATACGCTAAACTGGCCACTAAGGCTGGATTTGGGTAGAATATTTGGCGCTGATAATATTGCCCACAAATTTCACTTTTC